TTGGCAGCCCTTCCCAGTGCCAGACGTATAAGTATTTGCACTTTGGGAAGCAGCGGTACGAACTTCAAGTTCTTAAGGAAAAAGTGTATTTATATATATTGAAATAATTTGAATTGTTGCTTTTTTAGCATTAAATCAGCAACTTAAAGAGGTTTATAAATATTTGTAAATAAGTCGTGCCAGTCGTGCCAAAACAAAAAATGAGGAGCTGGCTACTTGGGGAAGCTGGCGACACCGATTACGGTAAATTGCTGAGACTTGGACTGCTGCTCCACCTGTTGATGGGGACGCGGGTCAAAGGCGATGCTGTCGAAATTATCGTGCTGGGCACTAATTGGAGTATATCTAATCAGAATGGGTGTAAGTATTAGCTTATTATTAGGCAGCTGTCAGTGGCAATTCGATTAATCTAATTAACAAACAACAATGATCAACAACACTCAAGAAATACACATTTCATGAATTGCCATACAATCAGCATTGGGTGTATTTTGCTTATCGATAAGCTTTCGGTGCGCGTTTACTTGCATTATTAGTTTATCAAATAGATGAAAGCCATTCCTTGAGTATTGTTTATGGTGTGCCATTATATGTTTCAGCTTTCACCCTACCTGCTAATCAGACACTGCCCTCTGGCATATACAGTGCCTTCCACCGGACCCTGGCCGTGCCCAATGTGCTAGATGCGTACAACGATGTGGATCTCCGTTGGATGGCCTACGACAATTGGACATATACAAACAAGTTCAAGTGTGAGTGCAGCATTGACATCCAGTGCAGCGACAATTTGATCATTTAAACCCAAACTCGTGCAGTTGATGTGGATCACTATAAGCGCGTGCGCTGCTTCAATCTGACCTTCCATGGTGTGGACACGGTAGCCGAGATTCGGCTGAATCGTCAGCTCTTGGGACGCACAGACAATATGTTTGTGCGCTACTCGTACGACGTGAGTAAGCTCCTGGAGAGGGACAATGTGCTGGAGGTGGAAATCAAATCGCCCGTGTGGGCAGCTCTAGCTAAGGCGCGAGCGCTGGACGCCGCAAATCGCAGTGTGCCTCCAGCCTGCCCGCCAGAGCGTTATCATGGCGAGTGCCATGTCAATATGCTGCGCAAGATGCAGGCGAGCTTTGCATGGGACTGGGGACCGGCGGTGCCTTCTATGGGCCTGTGGAAGAGCGTGCAGCTGGAGATGTACGAGGTGGCCTTATTACGCGACGTCGACGTGGACATCAGTCGCAATGAAACACACTGGAACATGCACATTAGCTGCTTTATGGACACCAAAGGCAAAGAGAATTTTTATGCTCAGCTAGTCTTCTATGCCGTGTAAGTAGACCTTGAAATTGCCCCCTCAAACACTTTATCAAGCTGCCAATCTGCTAAATGCGAAACGGTTGAACGTCTCCAGCGAGCTACTGAACCAGACCGTGGTCATCGACACATACATCTCCAAGCCGATCAGCTACTTGGCACCCGTAATTGTCTTTGATCAGGCTGTGCCAATTGTGAGTACCGTCCGCTAATTGCTCGGCCGGCAATTGAACTCATTGGCATCTGTGTCAAGTGCATTTGTTGTTTGTGCAGGAGGAAGTCGTTGCCTGGTGGCCCAATGGCTATGGCGATCAGAAGCTCTATCCGCTGCACTTTACACTGAACGCCTGGCTGGATCCATCTGGACCGGAAGTGCGTGCCAAGACCATGTCCCAGAAGTCGCTGCGCGTTGGCTTTCGCACATTGGAGCTAATTGAGCGGTCGGCGCCGGATGGTCGAGGCAACACATTTCTGTTTCGCGTCAACGGCCTGGAGATTTTCATGAAGGGCAGCAACTATATACCATCCCATATATTGCCAGAGCAACAAAGCCCAGAAAGAAGTGAGTATGAATTGAATTTAAATATGTTAGAGACGAAACCTATTGTTGCAATTCTCAATATGTTCAATTTCAATTGAAAATGCAAACTAATCAAAATGAACTAGAACTTGGAATATCCCATTCAAATGTAATATGTAAGATTGGTTTTACCCCATCATTAAATAATTTTCATTAACTGAACTTACTGATAGCTTCTGAAATGCATTGCTTGTAGAACAATATTTGTTTACAATTTTTATGAAAATAAAATGCACGACTAGCAGATAACCATGACCTAAATGGCTCATTCAATGGCAAGTTATTCCAAGCTAAGGGAAATATGTCTCTAAATATTCTTGGTGTCTTCTGTCTGATCTGCATTGGACTTAAGGAGATTATTTATTCTGAATTATATTTATATTTCATACCGAACTATATATATAATTTTTTGGCATCTTAAGATATAATGAAAGTATCTTATTTTATCTGCTAGTAAATTTATTTGAAAAACCGATAGAAGACTTGATATAAATTTAATATATCGACTAAAAAAATGAATAGTTTTATAGGGAATGGGGTCATCTTTTTCGTATATAACAGTCTTTTTTATTATTTACTATATATAATATGTATTTGATATAAAACCTGTATACAAAATATTTGGAATACATTCAGTATTTGATCTTATTATTTTATCTTTTATATCCTTTCAGTTGCCTACCTGCTGGAATCGGCCAAGGAAGCGCATATGAATATGATACGTGTATGGGGTGGCGGTGTTTACGAATCGGACTATTTCTACGATATGGCTGACAGCCTGGGCATACTCATTTGGCAGGATATGATGTTCGCCTGTGCCATGTACCCAACGACGCCCGAATTTCTGGCCTCGGTGAGCGAAGAGGTGCGTCAGAATGCCAAGCGCCTGTCCCATCACGCAAGCATTGCCATTTTTGCTGGCAACAATGAGAATGAGGCGGCACTCGTGCAGAACTGGTATCACACGTATCACGATATCGATCGCTTCAAGGCCGAATACCGCGAGCTGTACCTGGGCACTGTTATACACGAGCTAAAAATCGTCTCACATAACAGCCGCCCCGAGCCGTTGGTGTCCTCGCCGTCGAATGGCAAGGCAAGCGAGAGGGACAACTACATATCGGAGAATCCACAGGATAACCACAATGGAGATGGTATTATTAAAAGACAATAATAAGCCTGATAAGCTTATCAAACTGCTTGTTTTTTTTTACCATGACTGCAGTGCATTTCTATGACTACTTTAAGGATGCTTGGGATCCAAATATTTACCCACGACCACGCTTCGCGAGTGAGTATGGAATTCAATCGCTTCCTGGATCCTATGCTTGGGAGCGGACCAAAGGAAGTGACAACGATCTGGCACAAGTCATGGGCCATCGACAGCACCATCCACTTGCAATGGTCCCCATAACCACCCAATTGCATCAGCATTTGCCGCTGCCCTTGCCCGAGGACAAGGACTACGATGAGGCGCTAATCTACTTCAGTCAAATATCGCATGCCATGGCCACCAAGGTGGAGACGGAGCTATATCGCACCCTGCGCGATACGGAGCACAATACCATGGGTGCGCTCTACTGGCAGCTAAATGATGTCTGGGTAGCTCCTTCGTGGTCTGGTATCGATTTCTTTGGTAACTGGAAGGTTAGCTTTTACTACCTGCATTCCTGATTCTTGATTCTTGATAATGCTATTTGCTTAACACCAACACAGCTGCTGCACTATTGGGCTCGGGATTTTCTTGCTCCCGTTGCCATTGTGGCGCTCTACGATAAGCCTACGAAGTCTCTAAACATCTCATTGGTCTGTGACGAGCCAACCATCGATACCAAAAATTTGAATGTCGTTGCCCATATTCATCTGTGGTCGCAGCTCATGCCGCGCAACTCGAGCACCTGGGCAGTTACTCTGCGGCCCAATGGAGTACAGTATGACAAGATCATACCAATAAAGGATCTGTTGCAGGGTGATTTCAATGAGCACAACGCCTATCTGGAGTTTCAGCTGAGACGTGGCGAAACTCAACTCTCACGCACCTACTTCTTTCCTACCAACATTGCCAGTGCTGTGGGAATTAAAGATCCGGAGCTAGAGGTAAGTTCCATTTCCTACGACAGTGAGTACTGTACTTTACTATGTACTTCGATAAATTATTTTATTGTAAATGTGATGTTAAGGATAATTAAATGAAATTAATTTTAGTGACAGACCCCATAACTATATAATTTTGATTAGGACAACGTCCACCTGTCAATTTGTATGCGCTCGTCGATCTCTGCACATATTAGGGATAGAGACTAAACATTAATTTGCGGAACTTTATATAACACGCACAGATCAAGTTTGTTTACCAACATTGCAATTTTAAAGCTATCAATTATCGATGTTATATTATTATCTCGCACTCTGCAGCTAAAAATGCAAATTTCAGGTCTAGTTTTCAGATTTGATATTCATAAAATTAAGGCTCTGTGGCACACATAAATAGAGTGCATAAATATATAATATAAAATATATAATTTCAAGAATAAGTATAGATGAACTGAAAATATTATTGTAATCTTTAAGTAAAATTGATCTCCCAATTGGCAAGCTGTGCCAATCTGATTTGATTGATCGGAAAAGGTTCAGGATTCCTTCTAGACTTACGTCCCGTACTATAACATTTTAGCTAGTTAAATTTTTGATCAGATGTATATTTAATTATTCTAGCACTCATCTAGCTAGCGTAGCCCTGAGTTGAGTTCACTTCCCTTATATAGTCTTAAGTCCTTATCGGGTCATCTTAATTGGAGTACTCTCTTTTATTAGACTCTTAACTTAATAGTATTCCGTTTACAGTTCGAGTTCACGTCGAAAATATGCGTGGATACCCCCAACGGAAAGCGGAACAGCCTCAGCATTGCCATCACCGTGAAGTATCCAGCGGTATTCGTTTACCTGGAACTGCAGCTGCCTTATCGGTACAGGCTGTCCGAGAATGGCTACATGCAGACCACGCCCATTCATGTGGTGCATGTGATCATTGAGACCAACACCTGCATACGCATCTGGCGCAAGTCGAACTTTAATATCTGGACCGTGAATCAGTTTATGCATTAGCTGTGGGGCATATACTTTTCAAGTTTAATGTAACATTTATAAATAACTTAACAAATAAACAAATCAATAAATATAGTAGAAATATTCCAAGTGCAGCTGTGTGGAGGCACCAGCCGATCGCGCCTATCTGTCAAAGCTGGGCATTTGGACGCGCGGCGGCGTGTAGCCCTCGGGATATGGCACCAGCTGGTTGTTGAGCACGCGCGCATTGCGCCAGGTCTTCACCTTGTCCTCGGGAGTGTCTGGAACGCGGACTCCTTCGATGAGTGTGACTGCTGGCCCATCGACGACGTTGTGCGTGCTCTGGCCAATGGGGTTGCGATGCGGACTGGCCTGAACGGGGCGCCGTGAGGGCGTGGCCGAGGGTGCAGCCACGCCGGCGCTGGCCGTGACCACCACAGAGTGTGGCATATAGGTGACGAATTTCGATTTCTGTGGCAAGGCGTTGTAGTTGTGCTTGGTAATCAGGTTCTGTGGTGGCCGAGACCTGTGGCTGGGATAAGCGCGTTCATCTCGGCTGTAGTACTCCAGCGGCTCGGAGGCAGCGTACTGCAGATCGCTGGGAAAGCTGATTGGTGTATCTTGCGCATGACGCAGCACGCGTGGCTGTGCCTCCACTGGGGCAGCATAGGTGAAGGGCTGCCACTGGCGCTCCACGGCAAACGAGTAGTTCTTGTTGTATGCCGTTGGCTGTGCCTGGAAATAGACTGGCTGCCAGGCGGCGTTACTGCCGAGCTGACGGCCGCTTCGCGAGCTGCTGCCGCTCTCCAGCGCTCGCTGCTCCAAGGCTTTGCTGTGCGCCTTGGCCAGCTGGAGCTGTATAAACTTCGCCTGTCGCTGCTCGGCCTCGGCCTTGCGTTGACGATAGTCCTGCTGCTGCAGTGCCAGCTCGCTCTGCTTCAGCAGCGTCGGCGTATGCTCGAAGACCAGCTGGCGGCCACTTCCATTGGCATTGGCATTGGCATTCCTAGTTTGAGCCGCTGGCCGCTTGACATCCGAACTGCGCACGAAAAACGAACCGGCTGCCTCCTCGGCGCGCGCTTTGCGGCTGTTCTTGCCCACTAGAATCTCCACATCCTCGCCCTGGCTCGACTTCACGCTCACCACGCGCACCTTGGATGGATCCAGGTTGCGTCCAAACCGCAATTCGGTGCGCAGCAGTGAAGGCCGTCCGGTGGCGCTGCTGCTGCCGCCGCTAGTATTGCCATTGCTACCATCAGCTACGCCCACCAGCAGCGCGCCGCAAATAATTAATGCCACAGCACTCATACGCCCCGTTGCCGCTGTTGCCCTTGCAATCGTCAGTGTCGCCATCTTTTGGTGCGTGCGCTGTGAAATTGATGCAAAATTGTATCAAATTAGTGAGAGTTTATTAGGTGAGCATTATACGTGACTGGGTATACGTGTGCAACCTACAACAACTTCTTATTGCTATTATAATTTCATGATTAGCGAGTTCATCAAACAGCTTCAAGCTAACTGTGCCCTTACAGTGCCCTTACAAACAAAGTGTTATATATATAACTATGTACGTAATCATATTTGTATATATGTTTAGTAGTCCTAAGCTTGATATGTGTTACAGGCTAAAGCAAAGTTTTTCGTTCCCATGGAATGAAGCTTCAGACTTACTACGTCGCATGGCTGCCTTACGTAAATTAGGCCTGCCACTGGGCTTAGCGCTGCTTTCTACCTTTTTAAAGGTTCAAGTTAATTAATGAACTTCGATAGAGATAAATTATGTTAAAGCTTGTTACATTTGATTATATCTTTCGCAACAAACCCAAAAGAGGGCGTTGCTTCTGTCATGTATTTTTTATCGTGAGAAAAATTCTCTTATTGAAATTTGTGGAAATTTCGAAATAATTGCCTAAAAATAATATAAGCGAGGCAATAAACCTTAATGGCTAATAAACAGGTAATACACAAAATAAATAAGAAATGAATTAAAAATTCTAATGAGTTCGAAGAGTAGCTTATATTTACAGTTTTGTCTCTTTGCCTAAATGCAGAAATATACTTATAAGAAAAAATACGAAAAAAAATATATATATATGTATATATATACATATTTATATATTTCAATAAAATTTGTGTATATAAAAAAAGTTAACTAATATATATAAAAAATAAAAATATTTGACATATTTAAATAATTAGTGAATATATTAATTAGCCTGTTTTTAATAAATATTATAATAAATTCGTATTCAAATGCCTAATTTCTTGTTTTGGATTCTTATAATCCAAAAATTTAATTGCGGCTTTAGAAAAACAAATTGCAAATTGGAATTTTTTGTGTTTGTTTTCACGCCGGTTAATTAGCCTTGGCTTGACTCGGATTGCTATGATTTTCAACACCTCGTTGGATTGAATTTGGCTCATTATTGATGGTTGCGCTGCTCTTTATTTAATTATTGACAACCAGTCAAGCAGCCAAGCAGCCAAACGAGCTGAATGCATCTGCAAACTGTTTTTTTTTTTTTTTATTGCATCTGCGTGTCTATGTATGTATATGTGTGTTTATGTGGTTGGTGTTGCTGTTGATGTTGGTGAGTTGGGCTCAGAAAGCGAAACAGCAATTAAAAAATGCAATGCCTAACTTTCGTTTGCCGCTGTGGCATGAGGAAATTGTCGGCTGTCGGTTGTAGATTGTCGATTGCCGGCAACAACATTTTTATTTTCCACTCAGTGCCAATGCGACAACTCATGACAGTTTGGGGCGTAAAATTGCAACGGCCACGCCTCCTTCATAGTTGCATTAAGCAGCTAAGCCCTAGCTAAGCAGCTGTCATGCCATCAAAGTCAATGCCTTGCCTTTGGCTATGAACAACAAACCAACGTATTTGATAATATTTTTGCACCTGGAACACTCTTCACTGATACAGTTTTCAACATAAGTTCGAGTTTGCCTTCGCCAAGTCTTATCTAAAAGAGGAAGTTCACTCTTTTGAATACACTTAGACAGGTTTTTATAATTGTATCATATTTAAAAATAATTTATTTGTTATTAAGAATTATATGCTCTAATCATCCTACTATATCACACATCTATATCAAATCGGATTACTGTATAAAACAAACCATGTTCATACAAGTTTGCTTACTTTAATTAACTAATTCTTATCGGCTTGAAGTCTAAAAAAAAAAAAAAAAAAAAACAAATATTTTCCATTTAGTGTACACAGAAAATATTTGTTAATTTGTTTTTAGATTTTGTTCAACAAATATTGAAATTGCAGATATTAAAAATATATAATAAAATATATATGTATATGTGCTGAACGATAGCAATTAATTGTTCGGATAAGACGAGTTCATCTTGTTTACACTCTTATGTCAACCTATGAGCTATATTTATATTTACATTCTAGTAAAAGTTCGATAAAAATCTCATTTCGATATTCGCCCTTGAGATATATCTTCTCTGATGTAGATTTTAGCTTTGCATTAATTACGCCATAAAGCTTTGACGTAATTCTGTGAAAAGTTAGAGAAGAGAGTCAAAATTTGGGAAGCCCATTTCAGCTGTCAGTAGCTCAATCTGGTATCGAAACTCTAACAAACTCACGACTGCTTCGGTCTGATTAATGTTGATTTGGCATCACGCCTCGAGGGCGTAACCCACGCCAATCAATCTGATAAGTAACTAACTATGTAAGTGCTGCGCCTAAGATTGATGGCCGAGTTGCAGTACCATTTATCGCAATTTGCGTCAGATCAATTTTAGCTTGGCCTATTGATTGGCCGCATAATTGGGCTGAATGAACTGAGATGTTGCGATATTACGCATACGCCGCGTACCGCTACCAGCGAGCCACTAATGAGTGAAAATTTACCGACAAAATGAGAAAAACAATTAAGCGAATTGTGAATTGCAATTTCAATAAATGCGCACGGCAAAGTTCACGGCACGACTACGACTCGGTCAATCTGGGTGCTCGTGGCCGAAACTCAAACTCAGACTGCCGACTCGCCACTCGCCACTCGCGGCTCGCGGCTCGCGGCTCGCGACTTGCTGACTTTCACTTTCAACTCAAAGTTGGCGGCGACGCGGCTGAGTGCGCCGCGCTCCCAGTTCAACTGGCTACAACTGCTACCGCTAGCTGTGGCTCTGGCCTGGCTCTGGCTCTGGCTCTGCTTCTGTGGTTTTTGTTGTTATGAAATCGTCGCAATCACCGCGCACTGTAACAACAAAAACAAGTTTTACTTTTTGCACAACAACAAATCAAAAACCCAAAAGCAAGAAAAAACCCAAACGTCAAAAAGAAGTCAACGCTTGCTATTGAGCGCTTGGTCTCTTTTTCTATAAGCCTTTTCTTAAGTGTCGGCCAGCGTTTTTAGGCCGCTGCCCGGTAACAGCTGCGTCGACGCCAGCAGCGATGCCAGCGCTGTCGGCTTCAATGTCACGGCACAGCCGCTGCCGACATCGACGTCGTAGCCATCAACTGATGTTTCGCCTTTTGAAGCTTTGCCGTTGCGTCTTCGTAGCGTCATTTTTGTTTCTTTATTTTTATTTTTATTTTTTTCACTCTCTTTTTTTTGGCCACTTTTGTTCAATGAAAATTACATCACTTCAAGTTTTGAAAAGAAGCGAGACAGGAAATGCGACTGAAACACTTTATCGGCGCATGGCCAGAGCCGGAGTCATAGCCCTGCGGGTTTGCTATTATGTGCATAACTATGTTGAAATGCAAACTGCAATTATTATTATGTGTGTGCAATTTAAGTTTGAGCTTAGGTCTTAATTTCATCTCTGGCTGTTTGGGATTTGTTATTGTTGTTGTTGTATTGATGTTGGCCATTATACGCTGAGGTTATCTACTACGAGCTACTACTTAAAACGCTCAGCATTTGCATGCGACGACGACAAACAACTACAGTGCGACAGACGGCGCACATTTAATGATGGGCTTTCTCACTCAAGGCGTGCCGTTTGCCATTAATTGGGTATTACGTTTATAGCAACAAGCTCAATTGAGCACAATTGCTGGCAACAGCGGCACAAATCGCCGACTTGTTCATTGACTCTTGAGCTTGTGTGTTGACTTTGAGTTCGAGCTCGAGTGCGAGTTGTGTCGGCTTCTAACAGCTCTCACACAAACACACACTTCAAACTCTCACTTTTCTTGTAAGAGCTGCTCTTCTAGGGCCCTCGGTCGCTTCAGCTTGTCAGCTTGTCAATCAAAAGGCAACAGCAACTTCCCAGCCACGATTGGCAACGCTGCGAGCAATACCAATTGATCTGGCAAACAAAGACTGCATTCAAATTACGTATACGCCCCCACGTGAGCAACGGCAGCGCCTTCTTCTTCTTCAGCTACTTCTGCTTCGCTTTTGTTTCAATATTCGCACGTTGCGCGCTGCACTTAATGAATCTAAATCGGAGCCGTTGCCGATTAACGATGTCCGATATCATTGGTAGTCGGGTCAACAATCGAACGTTCGTTGCTTATTGTTATCAGCGATTGTCGTAATGTTTGTCTGGTGTCGTTGCTATTATTGTTGTTGTTGTGGTTGCTGCAGTTGTTGTCATGTGCAAAATGCAAATGTGGCCGTATGCGGTTAATGTAATTTGTTGTTATTGTTGTTGTTGTTGCTTGTGATGCTTGCCGGCGCTGTATTAATTTCACTTTTACTTTTTATGATTAACATTTCCCACCCAAAAGTGAGAAACTTTACATGATTTTTTTGTTTTTCACTTAAACATATTTGTACTTTTTGTTGTTAGTGCGAGTATGAAATGTGAAATTTGAAAGATCATAAAGTTTAAAGATGCTGTAGCCCTGCTGCTGGTCGGTCTCTTGGCTGGTCTTTTCTTAAAATTAATGCTTTTTACTTATGGTCTTTTTTTGTTTTTAATTTTACTTTTTATTATTTTTTCCGTCTTTTTTTTGCCAGCATCTTTAATTACACATGCATGTTAGTCAGCATTGGCAAGCACTTTCCGGCTTATGACAAGAGTGAAGAAGTGTAAATGTGTGTGTATTAGCGCCTGGGTCGTTTTTCTTTTTGCGCCCAAGTGTCGCAACTGAAAGTGAAATTTTTTTTAACTTTCGGGCACATCAATCGAATGCCAAGTTGAAGGTCCGTAGGTTTGATGGATAAAGCCTGTCATCTAAACTACTATGCACGAATATGCAGATGCTATTGCCTCAACTCATTCAATCCCACACACAAATGCGGTAAGCTGTGGACCCATAAAATCTCTTAAGCATTCGCTTTTATTTCAAAAGGCATCAATGTCATAATATCTACGGCATATCAGTCAATGTCGGGCTCTAAATACTTCACAGATTATTTGAAAGCGTAAATACTAAAGAATTCGAATTGAAGCACAAGAACTAATAATTTAAGGCAATGAAATTTTTGAGAGGCAACAATTACTTAACTAAAATATTTGATATTCGAAATATATAATTTATGCGTCATATAGAAAAAACTCACGTTAGATTTTAACTTTCGGCTTAATATCCTGTTTGTTAAGTAGTCCAATACTTGCTGCTCCTTGACGCCTTGCTGACGATGATCACAACAAACGGCTCTTAATTTGTGTTTTTATTGTATCTGCGAGCGAGCCAGACGAAATGTGCGACAGATCGCAACGCGAACCGAAATACAACTGAACGCAAATGAAAAACTTTTGCTTGCAAGTAAAAAAGCATCGAGCTGGAAAACGACAGAAAAAAGTAAAAATTATTATGCATACATACACACATATATATGTACACATGTCTGGGGGAATCTATATGTGTTTGGACGCCGACGCCAACAACAACTTAACAGCAGCAGCAGCCGCCGCAGCGAAGGTAACTGCGATGTTGGCAACGGTAACAACCACTAACACAAACACACATACATGTATACCCAGCGACGCCGACAGCAACGTCGGCAGCAGCAACAGCTGGCCAAAGAGACTTAGATTGGGACTCAGACAGAGACCCAGACCGAGCTGGAGCTGAAGCTTGAGCTTGAGACAGCTAAGCAAACACCAGCGAGGAGAAAGAAAAAACAGCAAGACACAGACAAAATGTCGATCGAAGGGGCAGCAGAAGGGGCAGACGAATACTCAAGCAAAGCATGCCAAATAAAAGCCAAAGCAACAACAATGCGGCCAAAATCTGCGAACAATTGCGCAATTGCACCAGCAGCCAACAACACAAACACACACATCACAACAACAAAAGCAACATCAGTGGCAAAAAGAGCGAATGCAGAGATCCAAATTTTACTCACAATATTTCATTTCTTTTTTGGCGGTCCACTCGTCAACGACGTTTGTTTCGCATCAGTGCAGTTGATCCGATGATTGGGTAACTGTAGTTTATCTCTGATTATTTAAATCATACAAGCATATTTGAGGTAGAAAATGCTTTAAAAATATACAAATGTAAATCTTTGAAAATAAACGTCAGTTAATGTATCATTAATTAGTTGCGCGTAATTTGTAATACATATTATTCTGTTTTATTTAATTTGTCATGCAAATGAAGGCAATTGGCACTTATAAATATATTTTGGTCTAACTTCTTCTGTAATTATGAATTTACAGCGCAGCTTAACTAAATAGGTTTCAAAAAATCTCTGCTAGGAATAAAAGAAGTATTGATCTACCACCACATTAATCAATTAAATAAAGAAGAGTTTGAGGTCTTGAAATTTTAAAATATGCATTAACAAAACAATTAAAAATAAAAATTAATGTGGATTTTTTTATTTGATTGTCTCTTCTAAAAATGGAAATAACGCAAAATTTAGAAGTTAAACAAGAAAGTTTTTTATTTCATTTAAAAATATAAATAAATAAAACCAGTTCTTTGAATATAACTTAAAAAAAAAAAAAAGCGAGCAGGGAATTTATTATTAGACTCATATTTAAAAAAAAAAATCTTTATTTTGTTAACAGCATTTTATTTATAATATTATAATTTATTTTTTTTTTTTAATAATTTCTAAGTGCAATATAATTTCCCCTTTAGTCTTGTTTGATTATTATTTGGTTATTTTTCCAACACCCCCGTTGCTGTTATTATTTTAACAAAATTTTAATGTAATGCTTTTTATCATTGTCATTTTCACCAATTTTCTTTTAGATATGTCAAATAAATAATTACAACTTCAGAAAATGGTCAACAATAGCAACGTTTATTACACAAGTCAACAAGGTTTCTAATAAAGAGAAAAGTGATAATTTGTCATATAAATTAACTTGACTAAATTTATTCATACTCTCCATTTTACACTCTCTTTTTCGGCGAATGTGTTTCAGCAGATAATGATAAATAAAGATGTAGTTAGATGTGATATTTTAGTACAGAATAAATATTTCCTAATAAAAAAGTTTTAAGTTTAGCGCCAAACATTTTGGACTTATTCAGTGACTCAAGTCGAAGTCAGCTCGGCAATTTTGCTTAAAACCACAGTCCTAATTTTGTTGGAAAGCTACATCCGACTTGTGTTGGCCAGTGTTATTTAAACATAAATTTTACTAATAAAAGTTGATAAGTACAAGAGCCTAGACTTTAACTACGATTAGTTATATGCTTAAAGTGACAAATTACCATTTGACAGCCCATCACGCTAAAGTGCCAACGGCGCTCCCCAGCCCCAATTCTTCTTCCGAGTCGCACTTGGGTTGCTCGTAAGCTCGTATACTGTTTTGTCGGCTTCAGATGCATGCTGTTTGATAGCGGGCAGAAAAATAATTGCCATGTGCCGTAGTGGTTAAACGAAAGTGGCCAGAAGTAGGTGTGTTCCAATGAGCTGTGTACCTTGTTTAAGATGCTGAGATACAGATACAAATCCAAGGCAGCCGCATCATATGCATACACATGCATACACACACACACAGACGCACGCAGCTGCCACACACTTGGCCCAACTTTTTATTAGCAATTTTCGCAATTTTCATAGCGCTTTATTGTGTCGTTTCTTGTTGGTGCGGCTTTTGAATAAAATGCTTTTTTTAATTAACAAAAATTTCACTTTTTTCCTTTGTTAGATTTACTATTTAACAGAATGAGTGGAGGATGGATGAGTGTACATGTATAAACCATGGG